GGTGGCCATGGGCAGAGGGACTGGCGTTCTTCGCCTGGGATCTTGGTGTGGGGAGCTGCTTTCTAGAGAGCAGAACTCTCAGCTTTAATCCTGCTGTTTGTGGGCATACGATAGGAGACCCTTTGAGACTTGGGTAGGGTGGAGAGGATAGGCTTAGCGCCTCTGCTCTGACGCAGACTCCGTTAGTATCCGTATGATTGTGAACTAGTTACAAGGTCACCCTTAGCCTTTGATGTCTCATGGGGTTTCTGCCCTAAGAGGAAAGTGTGTTCAATGTCAGCATCTGGTGCTGTGCCTGCTTTAAGAGTGATGGGGATGAAGCTTGGGAACCCCTGGGCCAGAAGCAGCAGGCCACATTTCCATGTTGCCAAAGCCAGGGTAGTCTTGACACTTACAAGGGACACCAGGATAGAATCTTAGAGCAAGCAGGAGGGACGTCCCCAGTTATGTGGACTAAATTTCAGAGCACAGCGCCAGTGCCCAGACTCTCAGCATTTAGGGATGATCCAGGAATGCTCGTGACCTTGAAAACAGGTCAGATTTTTAGCTAAGCGGAGAGAGTAGGCAGAACTCCAGGGTGACACCCTGGTGTGCTCACGAAACATGCCTGCTCACTCTTCATGATCTACCTGGGGCCTTGTGTTCATCTCTTCATTCCTGTAAGGATGGTCCAAATGGATGTTTTTCAACCAGGGGCACAGATAGAGCCCCTATAATATGAGTTTTCTGTGCAAAATTTTTTTATGCAGGCATTTCCCCCCATTTTAATTGCCTTGGCATATCTCGGATATTCTAGTTCAGATTTAAAAGTTCAAGAACTACTCGATGCCCGGTCTTGGTGAAGAATTCCCAATGCATGTCACTATCTGTTTGTAAATGTGAAGGCCATTAATGACCCATTGTGGTGACAAGGAGCGAGATGTGAAGGAGCTCACCTCATGTGTGCCTTCTCATGTGCCTGGCTTGCGTAGGGCTGCAGACAGGTGAATGGGTAGCAATATCTGGGTTCTTCATCTGTGATCTCCGATCTGGTCGTCTGGTTTCAAGCAGATGCTCCTACCTCCTCCTTGTGTTCCCATTCCTCTCTGATTCCTCAGGCTCTTGACTGATTCCTTTCAGCATGAGTGGATACATGGTACATGGGACGGAGATGATTTCTGGTGACTGTTGGGAGAGGAGGTGGACAGACTGGCCTAAGTCCTGGGAGGTAAAACTGGATTCAAAATAAAGGCAGGGTACCACAGGTGTTGTCTAACACACTGCTCTGCGAATGTATGAGTTTTCTTTCCCTTACAGAGAAGGCTGGGTTACAGCCATGGGTCTACCTTTGGGGTGTTGCAGAAAAAACCTTCCCGCAGTGGACTTGAACTTCCCCACTTAGACTCTGGCTGGAGCGAGAGGGATTCACTCAGTCCTTTTCTGCTCCACTGAAGTCTCTTCCTGTGCTTTCTCTGTGTCACTCCATCTTCCCAGTGCTTCCTAGCTCAGGCGTTGCCAGAGAGACTCAGACCCAGACTTGGACTCTGTGGATAGCGAGGTATTTGTCTGCGACCTGCTGGCCGTTTAAGCCTCAGGCTCAACGCAGCCCAGTTTTCTAGGGAACCGGTTCTCCCAGCAAGTGTGCATGTTTCTGTACGAGTGTGCCTGTCACGCCTCTGCTTTCGCACAGGCCGCTCCTCTAGGCAACAGTGCTGCCGTTTGCAGAGGGGGTCTTGGTTCCTGGGGAGGATTGGTCCCCCTCTTTTCTCCTGCCCCCTCTTTCCTCTCCTCTATACCCACCCCTAACCCTAGGCTCAGGTCTCAAGGTTAGTTTCTCTGACCATGGCTGTGGCTCCATCCTTTCCTTTCCTCTCCCACTACCCCGCCTCCCCGCCTCTCCGCCAGGCCTTTGAGTTATGTGTCTCCTGTCCTAATGACATAAACAGCATCAGTCTCCCGGGGCCCTGCTTTTCCCTCCATAAGGGCAAGTGTAGGGTGGAATGTGTTGGTCCTATATAAAGCGGCCCTGGTGCCCGTCAGCCTGTCAGGCAGGGTGAGGAAAGAGAGTAAGCAGCTTTGGGGTATATTAACTTGTTGAGACAAGGTGGATTCAAAGCAAAATTACAAGAGAAGCACGTGTCCGTCCTGGTAGCTGAAGAGCCAAGCAGCGGCAAGGGCAAGGTTGTCACATGGGCACGGTGTTCAAGAATCATCTCTGTCAAGTAGTTTGTGATGACCAACAGCTGACACCCATCCAGTCTTCACGGTTGCAGAGAGATTCCTCTTAAACATCAGTTAATTCCCATCAGACTCCCCCGAGGTAGGCGTTACCGATGACCTGACCTTATAGGCGGGAGACAGGCTCTGCTGGGGGCTGTGGTGTTTTCTAAAGCTCATGCATGCGAGGTTCTTCTGCACCACAGGGCTTCTCCAAGCTAGAGAGAGTAAAAACAGCATCTCTTCCACATCCACTCCATTGCTAACCTTAGCTCCTCAGGAGAGTGGATGTAAGCTACCAGTAGGGCATCTTGAATACCAATAACCCGCAGGGCAGGGGCTAGAGTGTAGAGAGCATATAGTACCTAGACAGGTGTGGGCATTTTCAAATTTTGGCTCCTTAGACATTTTGAGAGTGCTGGTGAGGACCAGCTTCTCATTTAGCAGTCTCAGTTCAGGTTGGAAATACCAGGAAGCGAAGAGGACGGAGCAAGGAGAAAACCCACGGCACAGAGATGGCCACACAGAGGTAGGTGGGCTCAGAACTGCGGCCAGAGCCCACCCTCCAGAGTCCTTGGATGGTTTGTCAAACAAGCCACTTTCTTTTCTTGTTCTGGGAACCTAACTCAGGGTCCTGTAGCTGATCGGCAAGGTCTCTCCTGCTGAGTCATATCCCCAGCCCTTCTTGAATGGTTTGTGTCTAGGTGAAAGAATACCCTGGAGCCTGAACTAGCAGGGCCAGTGGTTCTTCTTTCTTGTATTTCTAAATCTTGATTAGTTCTGGCTGAGTTTATATGATGACTTCTAGATGCGGCTGCCAAGTGTGGTGTGCTAAATATAGGGGACCCTAGAGATGGCAGGATTCCTGCCGTCCCAGCTCTTTCAAAACCAGTAGAGGAGACACTAGCATGTGGGCAATTAATTATATTACCTTGGGGGAAATAGGAGGAATTTCAGATCCCACAGAAAACTCCATTAAACCAGTCTTGGTACATGAGAGAGCACAGGCAAGCAGCTAGTAGATACTGTTCAGGCCTCCAGATGTTTTCAGTAGGCATTCAAACAACCTAGAAAGTTCCTTAAAAACAGTTGTTGTAGTCTCTTCAAGGCGTTCCTTGCTTCAGATCAGAGGTCTGGTGTGGATTTCAGGCTCTGGAATTTCTGAGTTCTCCAGGTTCTTGCCATTTCAGCTGATTAGAATCACTAGCCCCAAGTGATTTCTGGGACTTGTTCTGTGATGTGGAGTAGTGGGTCCTTGCTACGCTCCTGAGGGACCTTCCCCAGAAGCAGCTTGAATGTCTGGATGGGGCCTGAGTGAATGCGTCTACTCAGGTATGACAGGGCTAGAGATAACATCTTCCTCAGGCCAGTCACATCAGAAACGTGGAGCCATCTCTGGGGGTGCTTTCTCTCAGAGCAAGGTCATGTCTGCCCCTGTCTCCATGTCCTGCCCTGTATCTCTATGTCCCTGTAGCTCAAGTAACTAATTTGACTCTTTTAACTTTCTATCTATCTGGTGCAGGCCTATCCTTAAACCTTCCCGACTCCAGCCTTAATATTTCCTGAGAATCAGTGGGGTGGAGATACGTACCTCCAATGTATTTACCATCCTGAAAAACAACTGTATCATTAAAATGATACTTATCATACAAAGTTACATGGTCATTTTGGGTTCTTTATTGCTGGTATGGTTGTCAGTCAAGGGAAGCCATTCTTCCTCTTAACTTTTTTTTTTTATCAGGGTGGTGTTGTTGTGTGTATGTGTACATGTACATGTGTGCTTACTCATGCATGCATGTGGAAGTCAGGGATTGACTTTGGGTATCTTTCTCATCGCCCTTCACCTTATTATTTGAGACAGGGTCACTCAGTGAACCTAGAGCTTGCTCTTTCAGCTCTACCGGCTAGCCAGAAAGGCCCTGGGGTCCCTCTGTCTCTATCTCTCATACCTAGCACTTGGGGTTTATAGGAATGTGCCCTCTGGCTGGGAATTGAACTCAGGTTTTCATGCTAGGGTAGCAAGTATTCTACCCACTGAGCCGTCTTCCCACCCCACAACTGTGTGTCTGTGTATGTGTGTATTAATATGTGATATGTGCATGCAGAATGGTTGGCATAGAAACGAAGCTGGTGGGATTAGAAGCCAGATGTAGACAGGGACTGCTTTTGGGAGACAGTGTGTGCTTGGCCACCCTATGGACTTCTGCCCATTTCCTTGTGTGAGGCCTGGTGTATGGACTAGGAAGTCAAGGAGCATACGCTATGCAAGTGGGTGTCTAGGGCAGGGCACGCCTCCATGAGTTGCCCGTGTCTTCTGGCCTCTGCAAATGGCCCGGAGCTGGCAGTGGCAGGATGCGGTGAGCAGAGCTGGTTCTTATGACATTGTGTCTTTGAAACGCTTCTTAGTCTAGACTCAGGTAGGTTCATTGGCTTCTGCTGTTCCTCTCTGAAGGGAGCTTATTTAACTTGGCCCCGGACAGAAGACAGTTACTACAGGGCCACTGCCTTGCAAGCCTGGTGGTTTACAAGTCTCTGCAGGCCAGATAATACCTTTTTACAAAAGGTGGCTGCTCTGCCTGGCGAGGGGCCTGCTGAAGGTTATGATGGGATAGATGGAGTTGAGGTCTGGGATGACATGCTAGTTATACCTTGGCTGCTCTGTGACCAACCGGGTGACATTAACAAGTTACTTAGCCTCTCTGGGCTCTCCTTGTCTCTCTCTCTGTGAGTGACAGGTTAGGCAGGGTAGTCTATAATGTCCTTTCTGGTCTATAGCCTTTTCCCTTTACATTGTCTTTCCACAGGCCTGGCTCCGGGTCAGCTGTACACGTACCCTGCCCGCTGCTGGCGCAAGAAGCGACGATTGCACCCGCCAGAAGACCCAAAGCTGCGACTCCTGGAAATAAAGCCTGGTGAGTATCTTATGGAGCTCAGTTGGGCCAGTGGCAGAGGTGAGGAGGCCCTGAGCTCCCCAAGGCAAGACCCGTTGCTCTTGTGTCCACATGGCGAGTTTCTTGGCCCGGGGTTGTAGCGCAGTAGTAGAGAGTTTGCTTGGTATGGGCAAGGCCTGGAGTTCAATCCCTATACTGCAAGAAAAAGCAAGACAAAACAATAATAAATGAATAATAATAAAATAAAAACAAAATAATAATAAACCCAACAGAACGTGTTTCCAGTAAAAGCCTGGTACCCATGTGGCACACAGAGACATGCGTGTGCTCCTTCTATGTCAGTACGCGTCCTGTTGGCCTCAAGTTTCCCTGGATGTTGGAGTGTTGTGCCATCTCTTTTTGTCCCTCTTGTCACCCTTGAAAAGCAAAGCCAGCAGCCATAAGGGCCAGCCCTCAGTGATTTCCCTCACCAAAAACAAAAATGCTTTGGTTCAGCTCCCTCTCTTCCTTGCAGCCTCCACAAAGATACCTTGACCCAGGTGTGTTTTCCCAAAGAAGAAAGGATGTCCTGGGGGAACACCTCCCACACCCCTCTGTGTGACTTTCAGGGATGAAAGGCTAGCTTGTTAAAACTGGAACTTGCTTTGGGGGTGCGAGAGTCAGGTTGTCCAGTTCATCCCTGGGGTGCAGGCTTCTTTGCTTTGACCCACCTGTGACACTTCAGACACACGGCTGTCTTCACATCTGTGTCTGGGTTGCAACATGATGGAGTCAAGGCAGATGTCACCTGACCCCCCAACCTCCACTCAGCGTGTGACGTCCTTACTTCTACTGGAACCCCTCAATGCTGGGATGGTGGCTTCTGCTTTGGACTCTACCCAGTGAATGGGTCAAGGTGACAGGTGAAAACGGCAGATGAATGGCTGGACTTCTAGCCACCTTCCTCAGTGTGATCAGGACCGCGAGGTCAGCACGAGTACTGCCCTCCCAGCATGCATCAGTCTAGGGATGATGGAAGTTCTTCGCTGTTTTTGTTCTATGCTTGTATTTTCTTTTTGAATGGCGGTGTGTGTTTGGCACTCTGCAGTGTCTCATTTTGATCTAACCACACTTCAAGTACCTAATAGACACAGGTAGCCAATGGAGCTGTGTCGGTCAGTGTGGTTCTAGGAGAGTGTGACCCCAAGCAGCAGCAGCAGCAGCGGCAGTGGCAGTGGTAGTATCTGGAATCAATGTTTGAGGCCAGCCTGAGGTGTTTCTTCTTTCTTTCTTTCTTTCTTTCTTTCTTTCTTTCTTTCTTCCTTCCTTCCTTCCTTCCTTCCTTCCTTCCTTCCTTTCTTTTTTTTTTTTTGTGAGTTCTAGGTCAGCCTGGACTATATGGGACCCTGTCTAAATAAAACAAACTAACAATAACAACAACAAAAAAAAAACCCAAAACCAATAACAAAAATGGAAGAATACACTGGCCACAGTGGCACACACTTTTAATCTCAGCACTCCGGAGGCAGAGGCAGGTGGATCTCTATGAGTCTGAAACTAGCCTGATCTACAGAGCGAGTTCCAGGACAGCCAAGAATACACAATGAGACCCCAACTAAGAAGTAAGAAAGAAATGAAAGAAAAGAAAAAGATTACTTGTCACAGGATGTCATAAAATCAAATACATCTAGCGCAAAGGAATAAAAGGCATCATTAACCCCAGTGTCTTACTTTATTGCAACCCAGCCAGGTTAAGAAACTCATTCAAAGTCACACAGGAATTTCCTATGGGCCCAGCAGGGAATCCAAATTGCTTGCGTCCCTGTTCAGGGCTTTTCTGCTGCCTCACGCGGCAGAGAGATCTCTTTAGACATTTACTTTATGATTATAAAATTAATATACCTATTGAATATTCAGACACACAAGTCATAAGTGTTAGAAGCCCATACCTGGCTAGCTTAAGCCAAAATGAAAAACCGATACACAGAACAGTAAATCTGGGTTCCCAAAACTGCTGTGAGGCTGTATGCCTTGCGGTGTGTACAGCATGCCCTTCTTCTTGTAGGGAGTACCAGACTCAGCACCTAGCAGGACAGACCCCTTCCCCAGCTGGGGCAGAAAAGCTCTAGGGAGGCCTGAAGAGCTGGCTGGGTTTTTGTCTGCTCCACAAATTCTTGTCCTCCAGGGGCCTGAGTCACCACCTCAGTGGTGGCTTCTGATTAGCATAGTGCTTGGCAAAGCCCTTTCCGAAGCTTGAAGCTTTCCCATTCGGCAGATACCAGCTTCTACCTCACACAGGGGCTTAGGGAGGGATGGAGGGGAGCAGTGTTTTAAGCTTATTTCATAGGCGAGAGCAGTCAACCTGTGGACGGAGCCAAGGCTGTTTACCGTGTGGATGATGTGTCTAAGAAGCCATGGACCGCTGCTCGGGGGACTGAGGCAAAAAGTGATTTTTGAGGGTTTGATCGGTCTGTCTGCAGAGATTCGCATTGGGCATCCTAGCCTCCCAGCGTCTGCTTCCTGTCCATGGTCCGGTGGGAGCCACAGTGTTTATAGGGGCTGGAGACCTGCCTTGACGACTGAGGGAGAAGGCAGGCTTGGCGGGTTTTGGTAGCAGTTTCCTCTGGTGCACAGTGACTGTATCTGTGCCTCTTGGAAAGACTTAGAGAGTCTCTGCTCCAGGCACGAGGTGGAAATGACTGTCCAGGGAGAAAGACCCAGAACAAAGATGCTCAGTAATCGAGAGCAGGGCCAGCTCTGGAGAGAGGAGCCATAGCTCTGTGAGTGCTGCCCTTTAGGGGTGTCCTTATCTCCCATGGGTACAGATGTTCTGTCTTGTGAGGCCTTTTCTAGCCAGGGCTCAGGTGTTGAGAGACAATAAACAGCCCAGGTCAGGAATCAGAAACTTTAAAATTATACGTGCTTCTCAGAGATGTTTGTTCCTGCTTTGTGAAATCACATCTACTCCAGACACCCAGACCCCTTGAAGTGGTGAGAAAAGATGCCCACCAGTGGTTTTGGCCCTGGGGTCAGTGGTCTTAGCCTAGCACCTGGAAATGGCCCAGATGAAATACCATCAAAGCAGCATGCCACGATCTTCCTGGAGATGACTCAGGCTGGCATTTGATTTTGTGTGTGTGTGTGTGTTTGCATGTATATGAGTGTATGTTTGAGTGTCCATGTGGGTGTACTTGTATTCTGAAGCTTGGGTGTCGTTCCTCAGGAACCACCCACCTTGCTTTATAAGACAGGGTCTCTCATTGGCCTGGAGCTTGCTGATTCAGGTGGTCTGGCTGCTCAGTAAGCCCTGAGAATTCTCGTTCTGCCTCCCCAGTGCTGGTATTACAAGGACATGCAATCAAGCCTAGCTTTTAGAGCTTATCTATTTGCAAATATAGGTCCTAGGGATTGAACTCAGGTCCTCATGTTTGCATGCAAGCACTTTAGAGCGAACTCCCCATTCTAACACTTGGGTTTTTCAAAAGAGCCAAAGTTTCAGGAACAATCCTCTAGCATGGGCCTCAGTGAGAACAGAGGCACTTTGGGGCAAAGTCCAAGGTGACACTGTCACTGGCTGGATTCCCACCAAAGGACTCTGTCTCTGGTGGGTGGAAGAATGCAGCCCCTCTTTGGTGCCATCATGGGAGGTGCTGTTTGCTCACCTCTTAGCATCTCTGTTTTCGTCATTTATAAGATGCGGTTTCTATCCAGGGGATCTCTTCCCTTTCCTGGGATGTGTTCTCTCAAAACAGGATGATTTGATGATTTAAAAAAATTGGTCAATTCTTAGATTTATTCCATTCCATTTATTTGATTTGGTCTCCAAGAAAGCTCAGAGTTTTGATTGAAACCGTTGAGTGTGACTCACAGGAGAATCACTATTGGAGTCTCTGGAGAATTTGTTACAAGTTCCTATTGGATCAGCTCTGTGTGTGTGTGTGTACATGTGTCTATATATTTTTGAGTATGTAAGTGTATATGTGTGTGTATATATATGTATGAATAAGTGTATGCATATGTGTCTGTGTGTATATATATGTATAAGTGTGTGTAAATGTATGTATGTGAGTCTCTTTATATGTGTGTGCACACATGCATACATGTATACTTGTGGCAGTGGGGGAAACAGAGAGGGAGAAGGAGGAATATGGTCCTCTTTACCTGTGGCAGTGGAGGGAAGTCTTTTTTTTTTTTTTTCTTGAGACAGGGCTTCTCTGTAGCTTTGGAGCTTGTCCTGGAACTAGCTCTTGTAGACTGGGCTAGCCTCGAACTCACAGAGATCCGCCTGCCTCTGCCTCCTGAGTGCTGGGCTGGAGGGAAGTCTTAACAGCACCTTCAGTGTTTAAAAAGTACTAGCTCAGAGCTGGAAGATGACTCAGTGAAGAGCTGCCATGCAAGCACCTCTAACCTCGGTGCTAGGGAGGCAGAGGCAGGAGGCTTCATGGACCTTTCTGCCCCACGGAAAGTGAGAACCTATCTCAAAAAGGTGGAGTGAAGTGGAGGTGGCTAGATGGCTTAGCAGAAGAGGGTGTTTGTTATTTTAAGTCTGACGACCTGAGTTTGCTTCCCAGACCCACATAGTAAAGGGAGAGAACATACTCCCGCAGGTTGTTGTCAGACATTTTCATGTACACGTGTGCTCACCCATACCCACCCACCCACACACCCACCCACCACAAATCCACATAAGAAAACAGAGAAAAAATAAGATGGAGAGTGACTGAGGAAGAAACCAACATTGACCTCTGGCCTCCACACCCATGTGCACACATATGCAATGTGCATTGACATACCTGTGCAAATATATACACAAATGTGCGTAAATACACACATGAACATGAACATATGCACATGCACCCACAAAGCACATACCCATTGGACTAGACATTCTGTTGCTCGGGATCTATCATGCATAGTCTTAGTTACTATTGTATTGCTGTGAAGAGATGCCATGACACAGGAACTCTTACAAAAGAAGGCATTTAATTGAGGACTGCTCACACTTTTAATGGGTTAGTTCACGGTCATCATGGTGTGAAACA